ACAGTCAATATTTTATGCCTCTGGTTTTATTTCTAGATTCCAGGGACACATACAAACCATTCAAACTTTGTTCTTTTGTTTTCTATCATGAGAAATCCTGGACACACATAAAATCTTATAAAGGACCACTTACTTCTCTCCTCCCCTTCTCTTTCATAAACACGTTGTACTGCAATAATGATATACAGACACTCTGGTTTACTCACAGAGATAATTCTGCAATGCAGGTTACTTTTGTAAGAAGCAACGAGGATACGTGGTATCAGTACTCGGAAAGAAGACTTGACACATGAAAGAACCCTGTACACTGTCCTATGTAGTGTGGCAACACTACGAACTCACATCACAAAAAGTACTCTCTGTTGCTAGAATCCCATCTTCAAAAGAAATATACACTAACTCTCAAATACAACCTTTTGTTACATAAACCTCACACAACCTCTCACCTATTTTTTTTCCTCTGGAAGACCATGTTCTTCTAAAATATTCCAAGGGTTTTTTTCCTTCCACCCCAGAAGAAGGTGACCCTAAGATATGATGAACTAAGAGAAGGAAACTGGCCAACAGCATTTCTTTTAGCAGTTTATCTAGTGTCACTATCATAACAAAGCATGCTTTGAGGAAAAAAAGAACACCTTTTAATGCTTCTTAAGGCCCTAACATTTGGTGTTGCAAGTATCAGTCTTACTAAGGAACTATAATCACGTATGACTGAGAAAACATTCCTAAAAAACCTGTAGCTGTGTTTTTCTGGAAAACGGGGCATACATTTCTGAAACAAAACTTATCTAAAATACTAAGTGCACCACAGGAGTCGGAGCCGCAAATGAAAATACAAATGTTGGACTCAAAGCTCAATGAAGGAAGAAACCCCCCTTCTATCATTAGTCTTATGCTTTACCACAAAAGAACTGAATCATTTCAGTGCCAGAAGCTGTGCTAAGCTGCAATGAATACACACCTCTATTAGAGAATTCTATGTAAAGACTTTAACAATGCAATCATAAACAACCTCCGTATAAGAGCAATGAAGTAAAAGAAACACTACAGCCAAAAAAATCAGCTTTTAGTTGCATTTTGACTTCTATAACCTGCTTCCATTTGTTAACCAAAGGGCAGAACATACTGCATACACAGCTTGCATGATAGACTTCTTTAATGAAAATGTCATCTGTATGTTAAATAGATAAAATAATCTTTTAGCACTGTTTGATAGGTGTCCACGTGCCAATTAGTCTTCAGAAAATTCTAGTTCTGTTGGAAACATGGTTTGATATTATTTATACTTTATATTATTAAAATTTTTGAGCATCCACTGCTCTATTTTTTTCTCCTTTTTGTTGAAAGTCAGAAACCTGTGAGAACATGTCAAACTCATGAAATCATCCTGTATTCCCATGGAGAAAGATTCTAAGTAAAATTATCCCCACCCTGCCTTTATACTGATTAAACGGGCCTTAATAAAGATAACCAAAATCTAGAAAATGTAATGCACAAGGCTAACAGAAAACAGCGTGTAAGGCTAGCAGAGTCTTTCCAGTCTTCTCTGCTTAACTAGAATTTGAATTTTGCTCAAAGTTCTCCCCACTACAGCTTTTATTTGGCACAGAAAAGACCAAAATCCTACCAGCAGGCTTTACCTTACACTAATTAGCACGTTTTATTTATTTCACGTTGCCTGAACATTTACTACTAGGTATTAGCGCTTCTATTTTACCGCAACTGTAGTTTTCAGTTAAGAGACCTCAAATATCCAGGTATTATTTTCCTTGGCAATTTCTTAGTAAGGTATTTAGAAACTTAAATAAACCTCTCTCAGATGAGAAAGCTATCTAGCATCAAGACCACGGGGTGCAACATGCTGGACTACGGATAACAGATGCTATTGGGATCCTCTGCCTGCGTGTCTCGTGGCTGTACAAAGAACTTCCCATATTCTTACCGTGAGGTCCAGAAAGCTTCCCATGAGAGTTGCAAAGGTAAAAAACAGGCTTCATGGATTCTGTGGACAGAAGTGAACAGCTGAACCCTAGACCACAAGAAAAACCACCTATTTTCAGCATACACTATTAAACCCACGGTAAGTGTGTCCCAGGAAAGTGTCTCAAAGATTATATAAAGAAATAATAACGTAAGAAACAAAAAAAATGAACCATATTTGAAAAGGAAACTTAAGAAAGCTAAGGGCTGGAACACCTCTCCTATGAAGACAGGCTGAGGGAATTGGGGTCACCTTCAGCCTGGAGAAGAAAAGGCTCCGGGGAGACCTTATTGCAGCCTTGCAGCACCTGAAGGGGGCCTACAAGAAAGTTGGAGGGGGACTTTTTACAAGGGTATGTAGTGTTAGGACAAGGGGAAATGGCTTATAAACTGAAAGAGGGTAGATTTAGATTAGGTATCAGGAAGACACTCCTCACTATGAGGGTGGTGAGGCACCAAAACAGGTTGCCCAGAGGGGTGGTAGATGCCCCATCCCTGGAAGTGTGCTCAAGGCCAGGTTGGATGGGGCTTTGAGCAACCTGGTCTAGTGGAAGGTGTCCCTGCCCATGGCAGGGCTTGAAACCAGATGATCTTTAAGGTTCCTTCCAACATAAACCATTCTGTGATTCTACATTCCATTCTATGACTGAAAATATATATATTCTGCTTCATGGGCAAAGTCATACAGGGTGATCAGAGATTCCAGATTGACCAGGACAGGCACAAAATGGAAATGTTTTTCCAGAATCTCCAAGTATTTTACTAGATCATTATTTTGTTGCAGGTTTTACGAGTGGGATGTAATAATTTCCCTCTCCCCCATCCTCATAAACTGCAACCCTGGAAAAGGTGGCAAATTGCCATAAGTCTCTCACATAAATCCTGGTATGTTACTTGCATCCAGTTTTTCCTTTCAAAAATGATTTATTTTCACCCTACCATGCAAACATATCCAGGCATCACAACATGAGGACAAGCCAAACTGTGCTCTTCAGATTCAATTAGGCAAAGAAGTCATGGTTTCAAGTTCCTGTAGCATTCAGTCATCCAAAATTAGAGTGGATCATTACAAGAGTTCTGGAAAGTGGTGAGTACCAGAAATAAGTTTGCAGTTGTCTTTTTGTTTTATATTCTTCACTCATTTCCATTCTCCATGGAACTCTTGAGTTCCATGATTCCCACAAGGCACAGAGCTAACATTTAATATTTCAACACTGGAAATTGTTTATGGTTTCTTAACTCCAAGAATTGTGCAACAAACTAAGCAGGCTAGTAACCATAGCAACTGTGGTACAGAAAAAACAAGTTTCAGCTATGAAACTGCAGTGTATTTTTAATTCTTACAAATGCTATTTTTTCATATTCTACATGTGAAAAATTCATTAAGCATGTACAGTAACTAACATATACATCTATTATGTACTAGAGACACTTCTTACTACTGTGCTGTATTAAGTACTCAATTTCTCTCTTCTGTCTCTCTTTTCCTCTCTCCTTTTATCACAGTACTACACATTCTTCTGTTTGCTTATGAACACCTGCATAAAAAATTAAAAAGATGCTTCAATGGAGAAGAAAAATGCACTCTGTCTAGTAATTTTTATGCAAGTAGATTCTAAATGTCAGTTATATTTACCGTCCTACTAACAGTATTTGTAGCACACTGTCCTTGAATTGGCTATGAAGCACTCATATTTTGCTGATTCTAGAAACTTCGCTAGGAAGGCATTAAATATCAATCCCATGAACACATCTGATTATATAAACCACAGTATGCATTACTATATAGTTCAGTTAAAGGAAGCAGGACTGAACGATTGTTTGAAATGATTTTAGGTACCCACATCCCATGTGGGGCTTGGATCTACACACCCAAAGAGTATTACGTTAAGCCGTGTACAAACTCACACAGGCACTTTGCTTGTAACTATTGTTTCTAAGTGACAGTAAGCAATTACACTGGTATTAATAAATACAAGATAGAAACACTAAAAAGTTTTCCACTCTCAACTACCTATTTCATCCCAATTTTGGTATTTTATGAAGACTGGAGGGATACAAGTTTCAGAAAGAAAAAGACCTCAAAACCATACGAAAATTTAAAATTCATCCATTTGGATTGAGGGCTTTAACAGACAAAATGATCTGAAATAACTGGTATCTTTCATCAATGCAGTGACTATGTCTAAATGAAGAAGGCTACACATCTTGTCTTACAAAACAATGCTTATAAGTACCTTTCTGTAAAAAGCTTTCACATGCCAAAAATTTCAGAAAGTAGTGATGTACTTTTTTCTTTTAAATAGGAAGAACCTAAACCAAAAAATGGTTCCCAAAGATTCAACAAAATATCATGAAGCTACACAGGCTTCCTAGTTTGTTTTCAGACGGTTTTTGGATAAAGTAATAATGTTTCTAATAGATAAAGATATGTACACACAAGTTTCCAGTACTTCTGTAACACTTTGATGAGTAAATTTTAATTTAGTCAAACAACGCACTAATTTAACAGAATCCAAAAACGTACAGATCACGTCTCCAGTCCTGTAAGTACGAGACTTCCATGGAATGAAAAAATAAAGAGCTTAGATAAAACCAGTTTTTCTCTGTTGACTCTGGCATAGAAAAGCAACCTCTTGATTTGGATAACAAAGGTCATGACCACATGGTCCCACTGGAGGCATCTGGTTGGAGATGTACTAGGACAGAAAGCAAGCTGCGCAGAACTGTCAGCACATTAACTGCCACAAACAGCAGGATTACTGCTTTGGACTAGTGGGAGGTGGCCACATCTCTGCAGCCCACAGCACTTCCTTCAGAAATGCCTGCTTTGGCAATTCCATTTATCAAATGTAGTTTTATACTTGATGCTTATTTAGTACTGTATTAATAATAATATTGTTTCAATGCATTATTTTTAATTAAATCCATGAAGTACTTTAACCAAAACAACATGGATGTAACATTTTTATCAAGTGAAGAAACAAAATACCACAATAAATAGAAATTTGGACACAAACCCAACATGCCAATTTATTTTTTATTCTCTTTGTACTACCAGAGTCTAGTTTGAACAATTCTTCCTCAAAAACATGCAGATTTCACTGGACAGTACAAGTATTTGCTACAATAACATTCAGGTACATTACTTAGATGACATAAAAATCTTCAAACACAGTACTTCAGAAATAAAGAAGCTGGCATACAGCTCTGACAAGATTCCAAAAAGTATGCAGTATTTTTAAAATGGCAAACACTGCTTATTTTTCTTGCCATAATCAAACAATAAACACTGTACCAAGGAAAGATTACGCACAGCAACAGATACTCCATAAGTTCAGACTTCATATTCATACTTTATCCTTACACTATTTTAATGTAGCTCAGGTGGTTGCATCTATTTAGACCAGTGACTGTAAAATTATGTACTTATAATAAATAATGGATCCACTAAATCAATGATAAGGTATTACCTTATAAATAACTGCCAATTTCAATGACACATCAAGACAACTTTCCTTACAAACCTTATCACCACTCTACCCAAAGTTCACAAAGTCAACAGCAATTACTGAACATACAGAGTACAGTCAAACAGGTACCATAACACTCAAATTTCAACATATGTAATGTATGTTGCACACATTAATCCACTAATTAACGTGAAGTTTCATAAGGGTGTCACAGGTTGTGATATTTAATCTTCTGGCATCCCTCACATCAAATGGCAAGATGCACAGTCTTTACTTGCAAGTATGCAGACTTAACTGGAATGTTTAGAAGGGATAAGTGATACATATCCCAACAGAAAAGTAAAATCACATCATAATTTTAACAATTAAATCATACTTACTTATGTAACATCTGCCCCTGATCAAACCTTAGCACAGTGTCTTAACAAAGAACTGATTTTTCATGCTGACTACTGCTTTTACATGTGGGGAAAGTCTGAAGTAATTTGCTTCTTGTAAAAAATTACTTCTTTTCTCCAAGAAAATGGCTGAAAATAATCTAGACCTTCTATTACAATATTGAAAGCTTAAACTACAGAGCTTAGTGTAACCACACACTGACAAAGAATTCCAAGCAAGCTACAATTCATGGGCATACTCTGTTTTAACCTGGCTGCTTTTTACAGGATACTTTCTCTTTCTTCTCCAAAACCAGCCCCATCTGAGGCCGTAACAGTGTGGAGCTCTGATGAATCTTTTGAAAGCCTGGTATAACTTGAACGCTGGCTCCGCTTGTGAGCAACGCTCTTCAGGTTCTCATTCTGAACCGCAGTTGAATTGGAACCTGAGCCAGGGTGCAGGATAATCTGAGATGAATCTCTGATACCTTGTATTTCTTCAAAATTTTGATTAGCTCGATTGTTTGGAGCACTGTTATTATTTAAGGTTACTGTACTAGGGGTTCTATTTAAATTAAAGACTTTCTGGCAAGCTGGCCAGTTCTCTTCTGGGCTACTTGCTATCAAGCTGCTTTCAGAAGGACTTTTCTTATCTTCTGAGCAAATAGACATGCGAATCACAGCTGGATCTTGAAGGCCACTAAGGCTGTGTGGAATTCCTCTCTTTCCACTGTGACTGTCATCTTCAAGCTCAATGAGATTTGCCTTTTCAAGCTGTGAATCATCTGCTCCTTCATTATGGAGGGAATGATTTGGAGAACTTTCATTGGATCTTACACCAGAGTCAGAAGAATCTTTTTTATCCAAAAGGGCATCTGTCAAATACTCCTTTGCTTTGATGAAGGTTCTAATAGGTTCAGATCCATGTTCTGGAGATTTGGGCTGCTTCTCTATTTTGACATCTGTTTTCTTATCTTTACCTTCCTTAAGAAGTGGAGTATTATCAGATTCCTCAGTTCCTGACTCATCTTCATCACTTGGAAGTTTCTGATACCGGAGAGTAACTCCCTTAAGCTTTAAATCTGCAGCCTGGAAAATACTTGTTCTTTCCAAAGACTTCTTTCCTGGGAGAAGCTTGGAACCAGACTGATCAGATTTTTCATCTTCTTCAGTAATAGGATCCAAAGGAGATGCATCATTAGTAGAAACACCTGAAGTACTGTAATCAACAACATCATTCCTCTTCAGCAAGAAGGACTTTCTTCCATCATCTTGTTTCTGTTCACCATCTTTTCCTTTTTCCTGTTCTGCACTGGAATGCAAGGAACCCCCTGATGTACTCTGCCCCATATAGAAAGCACTTGAGCTATGAGGGGAGGACCTACCACTTACTGTAGTAGAACTGGCACCTCCTTCTAACTGTGACATTTGTGCAATATACTCTCTATATGCATCTCTGTATTCTGCCTGTACCTTGTCAGTAAGCTTTGATATTTCAATGCTAGAATCTTGAGAGTTAAGACTTGAAAGACTTGGAGTTCTACGAGTTTGTGACTGGAAAAAAAAAAAAGAAAGAAAAGAGATAGATAACAGTTAAATGAGCTTTTTACTTCTACTGATCTTTTTAAATTAAATAACTCAAAACATCAAGTATGTGCTTAAATGATTATTTGTTGCTGTGAATAGATTATGCAAGTGAAATTGTTAATGCTATAATTAAAATATGCTTACTGTAATCATATATATGCAATCACACACACATTCACTAAACTTATGAAGTATTCTTTTTGTTGGTCCCCATGACAGAATATTTCCATAAAACAAGCATTTTACCCAGTGCACTGAGGCTAACTATTTTAAGTACATAAACAACTGTGAATTTGTACGTCAAGATGGGCTTGTCTAATATATTTTTATAGATTTACAAAATTGGCATTTTATATTAGAAAGACAGCAAGAGTTCACCTAAGTGCTGAACATCTCTCAAGAACACTTTCAAAAGACCCCCATCCTACATACTTCAATATATCCTGGAAAAATTCCATTGCATCTAGCTGATTTCAGAAAAATCAGTTCTCAGACAAACATATTCCTCTTTGCTCAAATCTCTCCTCTCTTTTAGTGTGCACACAGACAACTCCATAGGCATAGGATGCTAGGCCATCTATCAAATGCTAGAACCAAGGTCTAGCACTGAGCTGAACAAAGTAAAGGGGCGGATCGTGGCTGAACATACAGCTTTGTGTCATGCGTATAACGGGCTCCTCACTACCACCAAAGTAAAAGACGTACGGTACCCAATGCGTTGGAGCTGAGACATTGCCTTAAGCAGTGTGCACTTTAGGAAACCTACTCAACTTTGCAGTGCACAAGAGATGAGATTTTGAGAGACTGTTGAGGTATTATGTGTTATTTAGGGCAATACTCAAAATTAACCACATTTCAAAAACCTACCTTCTACTAGAAAAAACTATTTTAAAAAACCCTAAAAGGGCCTGGCTAATTTTAAGAAGCTAAATGTAAACAGGAAAATTGATGTGTGGACTCAAACACTGTGACTGTATTTAAGATTTAGAACAGAATTACTTAACCATATAGATATACCCTCTTGGTCCATCCCTCTCTTTCTCAAAACTATTTTTCTTTTCTCCTTCCCCCCACCTTTTTCCTGCTCTTACATGCCTCCTTCTTATCTTTCTTGTTTCTGTTCATCATCTTTTCCTTTTTCTTGTTCTGCATTGGAATGCAATGCAAACCAACATGTTTCTTTCCTTCTCAGAAGATGCTCCTAATCCCCCCAGCAAGCAACATATATAAGATCTGCAGGTTCATTTCATCATTCTCTCTAAATTACTAAATAAGTATTATTGACAGCTTTTCATAAGATCAGTGATGTTGTATATACACCAGAATATTGGGGAACAGCTAAACATGATTAACTAAAGGAAAATAGTGTTTAAATTACTTCTGTCTGCCATGACTTCTAAGCAATTCAATGCCCAAAACAAAATGCAAGAATCTCAGAAATACTAACATTTGTTTATTTATGCATATTCACTACTATTTATCCATACTCACAGCAGCTATGATTCCTCACCAAAGAGAGAAATATTTTATTTTGTTGTGCATTTCCAGTAGCACTCCTCCTTTTACAGAGAAGCAGCAATATTCTTTTTTAATCAGTATTGACTTTAAAAATTCCAACAGGTGAATTCTAATGTTTTCTTAAGGACAAACTACCTTTCTCATTCTTTTGATTCAACTTCAGATAACTATACGGGCATCAGAAGCACTATTTATTTAAACTTGCATTTTAAAGAAGGCATTAAAAAAGATTTTCTTGTACTTCTTTCTGTGCTTTTGACACAAAAACAACGTAACAAATGAGAGTCATGCCATTTTGGTTGCGAAAAAAAACATTGATACTTTGCTGCTGCAAAGAGGCAGTAAGGGTAATCAGAATCCTACAACACACACAAGTGCCCATGCACACACACAGGCAGATGCGGATAGAAATCTGTCTCTGGGATATATATCCCAAACCTCTGTTCAGTGACAACTTTGATTATTAAAAAATACCACCTTTAGCTAGTAATTTGGGGTGTCTTCCTATTTTGATGCACCTTCAAGATTCTCTAATTTAGACTTGCAGAGATGAAAAAGCTGCTAAATGTTGGGAAACATCCAACATCCAATGTTGGGGTTTGGGGGTTTTTTTCTTTGGTTTTGTTTTTTAATTCTAATCGCTATTTAGATACCAACTGATTTGTTTTATTTCTTAAAAAGGACAAAAGAAAATCACACACTTTGCATGATTTCATAAGATACAAAAGAAAATTGACTATAACCTATGGCAGAAACCACAGTTAGAGAAGGATGTCAGCTCTGGAGTCTATGAATAGATGATGCATTGTAAGGACAAGGCTCGTAGTTGTCTGTTTAAAAAAACACTTAATAAATGTATCTGTAATCCTTTGAATAGCATAACACCTGGCCAGCACATAGCTAAAATATTTCATACACAAAGTCTGAATACTACGGTAAACAGAAATCTTGCAGGACGTCGCCCTAAGCAAGATGAGAAAAGCACGGTAACTTGGATTTTTTTCTCATGAAGAGTGATTACTGGAGCAGATGAATAGTTTTCAGATGGCAAAAAATGAAGACTGACTCAGACAGTGTGGTTAGAGTTTACGTCCCTGCAAAACTGGTCTCTGCCAAGACTGAGAACTGAAAGTACTTGAACTATCACAATAGACTTATTTCTTGACCTGTCTTTATCCAAGAATGGAAAAAAACCCTTTACCATACGAGTAAGCAAGCAGAATACATTTCTTTATTAAATACCTGCCAACTTAAGTTACTATGCCGTGGGGGAGCTTCATCAAGACCAATTGTGTTGAGTTCTTCAAAGCTGAAGTTAAGTGTGTAGGGAGCTTGACCAGAAAGACCAGTAAGCTCGGTGTGAGGCAACTCAGTGTTATGCCCAGAACGACGAGTAAGTTCACTGTGAGGAATCGCAGTGGTAACATGCTCAGTCGTTCCACGAGGATCTTCCTGAGCAGCCTGATTTTCTGAATTTCTCATTTCAAGTATCTTAACACACAAAAAGAGACAGTATAAATGTAATTATATAAATAGAAAAGAAGTTCTCGAAAATGTTAAAGACCTCCTCTATTAAAACTAGGAACAAGGAATTCACAACTCTTAAAGTATACATGCCTGTGGGGCATCTGTTCACAGATCTACTGCATTCATTGTCTTCACTGCAAATTACATTTTAATATTTAAGATTTTTTGCATTTACAAATTATCCTTATTACTGTTCAGAGCCTTAAAAGAACTCATATGCCACAAAACATTTAAGCTCTTGTAAAACTAGATAAGTGATAAATTACAAATTTAAAAGCAAAATGAAACATTTCCGTTTTATAGCTTAAGCAACCTGAATCTAATAATAAATCTCATCTTGCAATTCTCAGTGTTTTCAAGACTGACTTAGCAGTTGAGAGACATACTGTATTTTCAGAAAGAAAACTGGCAATATACTAAAAATACTTAAGAGAAAACACAGTTCTCTGTGATGCATAACCCTCACTGTAAAACTGCCATTTAATCTCAAACAGGGAGAAGGGAAATGGAAGAAATTAGATATCTACATATATATGCTTCAACAGCAGTATTCAATGCAGCATCCTTGCATTATACAGGCATGTGTCAATCAAATATTGTACATTTATCTCATTGTCTTGATTTTTAGCTTAAGTTTCTTTGAAAATTATGCTTATGCAATTGTGTGCCATGCATCTTTAACAGTCTGGCTGTCCACTTCCTTGCAATAATATACTTTGAACTCCCTAACTTTTAACAGAAAAACAGAGGCCTCAAAGAGAATTAAGTTCTAACAATTTCATTAAAATAGGCAAATTTGAAAACAGAAGAGGGAACCCATACAGGAAAAACAGATCTTACAAAAAGGGGAGGCAAAACTTCAGAGTTCACAATCAATTAAGATGCAAATCCATAAGCAACTGGTTCTCCATTAAAGTGCTCAAGACAAAAAGACAAAATAACAAAAGCATGCATGTTTTAAGACTATACCTATCAACTTAAAAGATGATAACAAGAAAGCAACACAAAAGAAAAAAAGATAAAGTTCATAATGAAAAAGACTAATTTGTGATGACTTGAATACTGAAGAGAAAGTCTTACCATGCTCCTGAACAGGTGCCAGTCACCAAAATTCATATTCATTTCTTTTTTCAGTTCATCAATGTTGCACTGAGCCAAGACACGACCATTTATATTTGCCTAAAACAATAAAACTAAATAATGTAAATTACCAACACAAGGCTTACGGCATGACAGTAATAGACGAAAAAGGTAATTAAAGTTGGGTATGTTGATGGGAACTACTAGTGAAATTCCCTAACATCACTCTTAAGTCCAATCCGATATAATAAATACGTGTTTTAATAAAAGAATATTTATTGATGATTGCTGATGGACAAAAAGTACCTATGTGTCATTAAAAAGTGAAAATATTAAATCCATCAAAAATGCATATATGAAAGGCAATATGATTATGTTCTATAAACAGATATAAGGAAACAACTCATCAGTGGTAGAAAATTTCACAGACAATAAACCACATTCATCTGCCTAGACTTCTCAGAACACAGACTGCAGACACCCAAGTATCTGAAGATAATGAACTAAGTGCCAGGCATCATCTAACCCCTGGCTTGAGGCATCTAAGAAAGATCAAGTACTACCTCCATCAAGTTCCCCCCCTGCATAAATACAGGCTTCCGTGTCTCCCATCATCAGAAACACCCTGGGATAGAAGACTAGACTTCTTCCTAATTTTCATCACCATTCAGAGGTCAACACAGGAGTGCCCAAACACCATCTATATTCCAGGAAGGTGATTCCTTATGTTACACATGTTTATATAGTGCTTAACTTCCAACAGCACCAAATTCAATCAGAACCCTTTTCATTATATAACAATGAGAAGTTATTTGTCTTTATACCATGTATCAGTGGACGGACAGAACGTAAAAGAGAAACCATGTCTGGGAGAGTAGCCAGAAAATGGAAGACCCAAGTTGAGAGCTCTGCTCAATCTGACAAATCTCAGTGGTTTTATTTCCATATCCCAGCAGATGGTCTTAATCAAACGAGGAAAAAGACCAGGCTGAGCCATTTTCATTCTTCCTTTTTACATGGTATCACTTTTAGTAAGAAATGCAAGAATATAAATAAGAGGAATCTCATTAGGGATAACTGATGAGCACATTCTTTTAGCACTCTAGAGCCACTGAAGGGACTGGAATTTTTTGCAGCTACACTAAGTGAGCTGCAATCCGACATCCTTCTTCTTGCTTTAAGCAACGCTGCTGAAGCTTCCTATGATAAACCTGTCTCTTAATCCCTGAATCAACATCCTCCCTGTATTTTTAAAGATATGATAGGTACTGGGACAAAGCGAGCTCAGCAAAAACACTCACTAATGACAACATTCATATTTTTCCTCTCCTTTCTTTGTAAAAGGAGCACACAGAACGGTGAAGAAAAAGTAATAAAGACATCTGTGCTAATTCTGTGCTAATGTCTCAGATTAAAGAGCAGTAACAGAAAAAATGTACAGTGGCCTTTCTCTGAAGCAAATAGATGTGAAATGTGATAAGAGAGAAATGGAACGATCTTCACCAGTTGTTTACAACAGAAGAGATGTGCCAATTTCTCAAGGGATGGCGGGGGAGGATGTTGCTACTTGGATATAGAACACATTTGCAACCCTATTTATCTACACATGGCAATTCTGAAAACATTTTCCTTGCTTCTTTTCTCAAAATAACCAGTCTCATCAGCATTTATATCTCCAAGTCCGTTCTTCCTTTTTGAGACACATTTTCTCTGCAAAATATATGCTTGTATTAAAATGTCCTCCAAACTTAGCACACATAGAAGTTAGGATGTTGTTCTGACATTTGATGTATTTCAATAAACACTTTCAAGAAAAGAGGCAACTAAATATTTCCTTTTCTTTGTATATCTCCATGTTTAGGTACTAAATATATTAATGAAATTCAGCTGATACCTTTCTTATAGTTGCAGAGTACTGAGGTAGCATGCTCTGGTCCAGACCATCTATCTGCTTTAGCTTCTCACACACAGCTTCCACACTCATTGTGCTCAGAGACACATGTGACACTCCTGTAGTTGAACCTGTGCCTGCTCCTGCTCCCTGGAAGAAGTGAGAAAACGTGCACGTAAGATTTGTTCAAAAACACAGTACACCCAGAATTTCACAATATACACTAACAAAATCAAGCTGCGTTCAACTACATTTTAAAATTAAGAGATGACAATAAGAATGCACAGGTGTTTTTAATTACTATTAGAATACCTATATATTGAGAAACTTTCATTATAGATATTTATATGATTAAAAAACCAGCATCTTGAGTCCTGCCTATGTGAGAAAATAACTCTCTTAAATAATGTTATTTAGGAAAAACAACATAATAATCAGAAATATTAAGTAAGGGTTAATCAGTTTCAAAGGCATCTTTACTCAGTATCCCCCTGATTCTAGTAGTTTGGTTTTGGGTTGCCCCTTTTTTTTTTTTTTTAAATACAGACATAACTTCGATATTCCTGTCTTAAAAAATTCCTCATTTAGTATCAAAGATGACCTAAAACATAACTCCTCAATTACTTGTATTCACTGGGTAACTTTAGCAACATATGTCCATTTTCCAGAGGTTCCTTCAGCCCCCTTCAAGCAAGATCAGCCAAGGGGCTGTGTACCACAGTACAGAAACACAGGGCGGCACTGCCACTGCCCTCCAAGATACTATGAGAAAGCTTCATATATCTTGAGCTTTGACAAGATTTAGGTATAAATTATTCACAATTCAGATGTGGAACATAGCAGTTGTCCTGTTAATGTTGCTAGCTTCTGGGAATTTCAAAGAAAGTGTGGAAAAACAAAACAAATGCATCTGCAGGTAGTCAGTATACTAAGAGAGTATATTCTCAAAATTCTCAGAATTTTGAGAATTCTCAGAATTCTCCCTGGATGGGGACCTGGTGCATTAAGTAGGAGCAAAGTGCAAAGCTCTAAATAGTTAGGCTAGTGATTCCAAATTCCTAAAAGTAAAACCAGAACCATCTCTAGATCACCTATAAAATACTTGTACGCTCTCCTCCTGGGAGGAAGGTTGTACATTCCCCTTTTTCTGAATGTGAAGTTTTGGGTTCAGCACTGTAGACCATGCACCAAACAAAGCTCATTTTGGGAGGATGCAAAAGAGCTTCTAAAGCATCAGAGCTCATCATCACATGAGTAAACCCTGGGATGTAAAAGTGCGTTTTGACTATCCAGAGTTCAGTTAATCGAGTTTGACTATATTCCTCAAATCACCATGAGGACTGTTTTTATAGTTGCAACACTTCTTTTTTCACTTTTAATTACTTCAAAATTATTTAATTTTTCAAAAGTAATAGAAATTAATAGATTCAACTATATTGCTTATGAAAACCAAGCTTTATCACACAGAATGGCATTAACTGTATCTAAGTTATCTAAACCAGGACGTTTAAGAAGAATTTATTCAACTATTAATTCCAAGACAGTAATTCAAAACCCCATTACCTACTACCATTTAACCTCAAGAGTTATTTCTAACTTACAGTTATCAGAGATATCCTGATCTGGGGAGGCAGTCACGCTCCCCACCTAAGCTACTCTGAGTTTCAAAGTTCAGATGCTATTACATGTAGTTCCCCCAAAGTTCCATGCCAGATATGCTTGAAATGGACTTGAACTGGCAAACTATCAACTTCACTCAAGAACACCACAGGAGACTGTGGGGAATCTAAACTTAGCAGTTCACACACTTGCCTGAAAACAGAACTAACCTTAGTGGGGCACTAATCTTTGTTCCTTTGACCATTTATACTTTCTTAGGCAATGTCAACTGGACACTAAGCAAAGAAAACATATACCCCATTTTCTGGGTAGGTAGTCTACCTAAATTATTGCATAAAAAATTAAGCATTATAATTCCACTACAGTCTAGGCACCTAACTTAGGGGTTTGGTATTCCTTCTCAGGACAAGGCAGTTACTTTTCAGACTCTGCAATGTCTCCATAATTAGGTGCCTACAATATCTAATTAGTTACCATATTGAGCACCTAAAGGAGGAAATTTATGTCTTAATCTAGCCTGATTTTAGCACAGCTAAAATCTTTATCATGCCATCAAAATGATGAAGATGACAGGAAGAAGCTTCATCCATAAACTACTTATCGTCTACTTCTTTTATGTACATCTCAATTTTTCGTCTTTTAAAATAATAAAAAATCATTGAGTTTTTCTTCAGAATACCAGTTTTGTCTATTATTTCCACATAAACACGCCATATGAGTTATATAATACATCAATAAATAAAAGGTATTAAGTTAATTCAAATGTTAATTATTTTTTGAAAGAAAGCTTATCCATTAAACTGTTACAGCCAAAATTACATTGTAGCACTACTAAATAAATGATCCCTAAGCAACGTGTGTAAGCAATCACCTTTGTTCTCTGAATCTATTAAATACATTATCTATCAATACCTACAAATAAGTGAGGAAATGTTTTAAACATTTCTAATGTTAACAGTTCTTCTTCAGATCAAAATATTTTTTTAACAATCAAGAACAAGTCACTCTTTCTGCATGCATTAAGACTTAGTTTAGAAACTCTTCTTTCTGTGTATAAAAAAAATACAGAAAAGCGCCAAAATATTTAGACTATTTTTGTTAAAGTGCGAACTGTTTGAAATAGATGCACATTAATCCAAATCATTCTTTATAAAAAGCACTCTCCAAAGAATAAGTAATGGAATAGCTTTAGGGATATTGTCATCATGTAAGTAAATTAAAACTGTACTTAAACTGACACATTTTTCAGCCTTAGTGGTTTTGTTAGAGATGCTTAGAGAACATTAGTCTGAAAAGTATTTGCCATGCAAAAGCTAAAAGCAGCTTGTCAAAACAAACCTCAAGGCTAGTAATGAGCATTAGTTTACAGACAGCCCAGCATGAAGCGCCAGTATGATAGCTTCTGAAATGACTCCGAAATAAGTGAATGATAATTCACAGAAAGTGGCTGTACCTGTCTGTTTCTGTTTAACCCCGACTTACACAGCTTTGAGAAAAGGACAAAACAGAATGTAAAGAAACAACAGCTTAAAGCGACATCAGAAAGGCTGAACGTACAGATGACATGCTTTGAAGAAAACGTAAGAAATCAGTGTTAGGACAGAAACAGGACATTTTCATAATGCGATGAAACTTTTAAGATAGACCTTCAGAATACACATTTAGTATATGCTATACAAATATTGTTTTCCTATGAGCGGACTACTCTGTTTTACACTTGTAATAAAGTGAGACTTGCTGTATTTTGTTTGCATAGAAGTTTTACATTATGTTTCTGATGGAAAATCCTGCTTTTAACCAAACATTGTCCTGCTGTTTCAAGATCACATTATACCACCAACGTATCTCAAAACAACTTTGAAACTTGTATCTAAGCACACACTCAACCCCCTCCACCCCCCCAAAAAAAAACCAAACACCAAACCACCATAGAACTGAAAAGGTATTTCTTTTAAGAACAAATATTCAAAGCACAAAAATGCTACATAAAATCACCAGGAAAAGCCATATAACAAAACCCCCATGCCACACACTTTCATTCATGCTGCAACTTTTGAAAAGTACTTCCAGTTTCTTAGAGAGTATTGTATGTTTATCTACATTACATGCTCTGGGCCATGTTAGTTCTCATTGAAAGCACACATATTACATCTTAAGGTATTATATATTCAATGCTGTATGAAAAATGTATTTAAACAAAGTAATTCTATTGCAACAAGATGCATCTTAGCAAGTCGTAATTAATGATGCAAACTAAAGCACACAATTAAGTTAATGGCAGATAATCACTGCTAATGCTAGTTTGACTTCTAACATAACAGTGGATATCATGAACAGGTATCAGTAACGCTACAATCCAACGATAAACTCTTCAGAAAAGCGCTCTAGAAGCTTTTGCAGTTCCTGTCAGAAATAACCATCTGTATAGTAAGGTCAGCAGAAATGTACATTTGCCTCCATCACAGATGTGCAAAGGTTGACATCTTAAGTCAAGCCTATTTCCATTAGTGATTTAAGCTGATACCCTAAAATTTGCAATGCACCTTGACGTTCATACAACTACATAGACGGTATGGGTAAACTTACCGGTTTGACATCTGTATTTTGATCCATTCAGTAAAGAACAGTAAACTACAGTCTGAGATAGACAAGTTTTATCATCAGCAACAGAATCCAAATACAGAAGATGGCAGAAGTCAAATAACTGATACAGGATGATTGGTCTCAAAATATTTCTGATTTCCACTACGCTAACCTAGACTTACACTGATTTTACAAGACTGATTTCAGAACTCTGTCAACTCTAGTGTCAGACTGACAACAATGGCAGGGCCTTAACTAGATCACGTAATGTCCTCAACAGCTCCGCTAACTCATGCAACCATGATCTGTGTACGAAAAATTGACACTCCCAAAGAAACTGGCTTTTGCTCTGTAACGTTTAGAACATTCAAAGGAATGACTAGTCTCTATTTTACAGAGATATAAAATCGCAATGTTTCTGGCTCCCTGCCAGATTTGCATGAAAGAAGATTTTGATTCTATACGTTCCTCTTGTTTTCAATCATTAAACCAGTTACACATCTTGGTGTTCATTAACTACTGGTACAGTTTTTTAGTCTATTTCATTACTTCGCACGCACCAACCCATTTAATAACTAAAAGCTGTATCATTTATATAATGGCAATGACCCATCAATTAAGATCCACCAAAATAGCTGGATGAAATTATTGTACCCATCACCTCTGGATAACAGCAGTACCTAAAACAGGTATAATACAAGTTTCCTTTCAAAGAAATTTCAATAAAGTCTACAAAAGAAGTGGAGAGCAAGAGGCAGTTGATGCCACAAGCCTGGCAGTGCTTAAGAGGCATTTGGGCAATGCCCTTAATAACACACCTTAACTTTTAGTCAGCCCTGAAGTGGTCAGGCAGTTGGACCAGATGATCATTGTAGGTACCTTCCAACTGAAATAATCTATTCTATTCTAATACCATACCCTGACAAACAACATTCTCGCAAACTACCCAAGAGATTTAAAAAAATTCAAAATTTTAGATTTACACTGTAGGTTAAATATTGCTAAATATTAGAAAAATGTATGATCTGATGTGTGGTACGACACAGATTCACAGTAGTATAAATTAAACTCAAAACCATTAAGTAAACCCATAATAGAATCTTCCATTATCGTTACTTCAAAAAAAGTTTCTTTTTAATGTTCTAACTTCTGTATTTTCTTACCTAGAGCAAATAGACTACATAACTTACACAAGTCTCTTAAATTGCTGCTTGAAACTGCAACCTAGGTGTTCTTAAGATACACACTCAGAGCAGCAAGCAGAAGAGTATCCAGGTCTGCTGCTGGAACTCAGTCACTACTTTGCCTTGAGACTAAATCCCACTTTTCTGGTCCTGTGGCCCTTCTCACACTCATGGATACACACATACTTCAGCCATCAGTCTACTACTTTCTCAAAAGTCCTTACTTTTTCTCCTTGCACTGACAAGCTGGAAAGGACTGGGAAGAGAATGGGATACTGAGATAAAGAATCAAACACAGGCAAGGCATCAGCATCTCCAGAAATATACTATCAGAAAAACTTACTCCAAAGTCATCCCTTCACACAAGGTAGCTAATGACCTGTAAGAGAGAACTTTAGGGTACGTTTTCCATCGCGTCACCTATACATGGGTGCTTAGTGAAGGTTATGTGCAGTTAAATACAGTTCTGGAATTTGTTGGGGTTTTTTTTTCATTGCACAACAATGGAAAGACATTTCTGCAATGATTTACCAGAAGAAAAAATAACTGTAACTGTTGCCAACAATTATTGACAGCAAGTATTCAGAGAATGATGACATTTGCTTTGCTAATAAATCATGATTTTTCCATAGATTCCCAGGGTTAGAGTTAAACCAGATACCCATAAAGAAGACATTTTTGTGTGAATACTTGGAATAAAACAGTAACAAGTCATGGAAAAGGTAGATGTTACCATTCTGACTCAAGATAAACTTATGTCCAGCAATTATTTTTTTTTAACTTCTATCAAAAGTTGCTTTATACTGTATGTCGTGGGGAAACCAGGACACTGTGTTAACTGCAATAGCTTTATGTCTAAAGAAGTATGGATCAGGTGAGAGAGCTGACTAAAGCAGAAGAAACACAGTTATTTCATTCTAAAATCTAACCACCGAATGACCAGCTGTCATTCTTCACTGTTCAGCTACCACAACACTCTCTTTACTGAAAGCTCACCATAGCTACTGAGAAAGGCAAGGGGAAAACTACAGGGGAAAAATATAATACATCTTATAAGTGAAATATTAGCTCTTAAATTCATTCACAAACTACATTAGTTTTCAACTACTCTATTTGCCCACCAAAGCCACTGATGCAGTGTTAGTGAACTGCAGTTATGATTAATGCAGACTCATTACTGCTGAAAAAGCAATGAGATGCTAAAATTTCCACACCACATGACTACTCATTTACCATTGAGAGGTCTGTGGGTGAAGGAAGCCCCTCATCAGCATCCTCCTTGATAACATCCTAACAACAACAAAATATTATGGTTTGGGTAAAATGATCAAGGGCTCAACAAAAAAATATGAAGTAAACAGTGAACGAGAATGATCTCATACCAAAACATAATTCAACAGAAACACAATTGTTTTCCTTAAGTGATTAAAGATTTTACCACCTTTTAATAGCTTTGCCCATTGTACCAATATCCTACAAATAAACTGATTAACACGTGAGGCTATTACTTTTTTAGCTTTCCTTAGTTCTTAATTCCGTTTGAACAGCTGTCAGTAAAATAAATACTGTTAAATGGGAATTTTATTATTCTATAGGAAGCTAGAAAAGTCTGCTCAGTTTTCCTTTTCAATAGGTAAATAAAGTTGAATTATATGTACTTACAAAACCAAGCTACAACCAATGCATACTTAAGATAAAATGTATTTTGTTTTATTTAAAACATTCATTTAAACTTTTTACTTTGGCCTTCCAATTTCTAGTATTTTCTACAACATTAAAGGATGTCATTTTATCTTACAAAATTTGAATATATATTTACAAGTAGTGCTTTTTTTCTTACAGTGCAGCTGACATTTGCATTAAAATATTTTCCTGAGAATATTACAGGTCATACTCCTCTAATCTTGATATTTGGACGTTCGAATTGGTTTTCCTCTCTAAGTAATTTCTAAAGTTAAAACAAAATACATTTTACATTACATGTTAATAACATTTTTGCTTAAACTATTCGTAATATAGAGCTTGTACTTGTCTAACAGTGAATCACGATTAATAACCTTCATTTTCATTACTCACTATATTTATTGTCTAGGTTAGTATTTGAATTATCCTTCAAAATACTTACTAGGCCATTGTTCTGATCTCTGGACAAACTCGTTTTTAGTGGTGGACGTGAGATGAGATGAGAACTGCCAGGGTAATACCTTGGCATGTAAAGATATGGGGCAAAGAATGGCTATGGAAAAAAAAAAAATGTAACAAAAAAGGGACAAACAATTACACAAATCAAAATGTAATAATAAAATAAAACTTATTTCAACAAAACACAGCCTCTAGTTGAGTTTATTAAAGTGAAAAATAGCAATTATTAATAACTTTCTTTACTTTTTGCATTGAACAGAATTCAGTCAAAATCTCTGGAGTGAGTTCTTCAAAATCCCTCAGTGCCAATGAGTACTCTTGCATGGTATTCTGGACGAACAGAGTTGGAGTGGTTTTGGTAGCTACACTCTTAACATCTGTTCTGAGTATGGGAAAAGGATAATTTAAGGATAATTCTGATAATTTCACTCTCTTAGACCTGCTAAACCCAAAATTAGATGCTTAGTAAAACTTACAATGTTTCATAATACTGAAGACAACTGTACCAAAAGAAAAAAATGTGATGCACAATAGCATCACTAGAACTTCCCATATTTGCAGTAACCAATCTGAAGGCTTCCACAAATATTAGAGTTTATAAGTCTATAAATAGATTTTTCCAGCAGACATTATTTGAGCTTTGTTTTGTTGCAAATACGTTAATGCATGTTGTTCAATACAAATACCATCTTAAAGGACAATGCTAATTATCATAAAACTAATATTAGAAACATTTTTTGAAAATAGAAATAATTTTTTTCCCCTCCACAAATATCAGTTAACTCTAATAATGATTTTTATAATCAGGTTCCTTTTTATCCCTTTTTATTAACAAATTGCGAGAAAATAAACACTATATAAGTTTCCAAAAGTCTTATCAGCACATCAGTGTAAAGAGTCTAAATGACAACTCAGGCCTTTAATAGAGTCACTTCTGGAAGATACAGAGATATCAAAATTACAAATATATTTCCAACAGAGGACTCCATATGCTCCAGTATTTCCAGTTTTAAAATCAACTGTAAAAACATGTTCCCTGAAATTCACGTGCTACCCACTGGCATACAACAAAACCTGTGTGTGTGTCTATGCACAAGCATGCATTTAAGAATTATGAACCTTACAACTGGCAATGTAAATTAAGAAGTACAAACTGCTTTTCTAATATTGTGAAATTTTGTTTTCACCTACCTATGAATTTGAGTTAGGCTTTGAAATAAAGATTTTCATCTCCTTATCATTCTGTTTTAGGCAATGTAATGGAAAACAACAGAGTCTTTAGACTTTAGGAAAGCAGTGCTCATTGCTTTCAATTCATATAAAAAAAATGTTATTACCCAGCTATTTAACAAAACAGAACATACTATTTGGTTTGTGTTTCTGCACATGACAAGATTCCAAGTAGTCTTCTGCACCAAATTCAGCATAGAGTAAGTAATTTTGTGACCCGACGGCCAATATATGAAGGAGGAGTAAAATTTGTTTAACTATTCCACTTTGGATTTGTCTATAAGGACTAAAAAACACTCTGCATTCAGAAGCAGCTGTAAATGAATTGAGAAATTAAAGTTTAATTCCTGTATACATCAATTAATTAGATAGCAAATGCTACAATTTTGAGTGATTTCTGGAAAATACAAATGGTTCCATATTCTTAGCTGCTAGAGGTAGTCTTTGCATGCGCTTTCACACGATTACCACGAGAAGTTCATACGCTCTTTTCTTCCAGCATCTGAAGTGACATGATACGCATTGTAACCATTAGTCTAAATGTGGAAGTTTGTTTTGTTTGAAATAGATAGGAGAACCAATACCTAGCCTTTGCCTTACATTTATTGGTTAGTGTAGGATGACTCAGAAAATTCCCTGATCTAAAACTATTTCACCGTCATAAGGCAGAGATTCTATGGTATTTTATGGAAATCAAACTATTTTCAAAAAAAGTTCTTTATTTCTGGAGTAATTAAATGCCTTAGTTTACCACTAACAGCTTAAACCACGTAGAAAACCCCCAAGCATGAAATGCTTAATGATCATACCACATTCAAGTGCCTAGCTCTCACTGCAAAGACTCTCCTCTGAAACACAGAGTGAGCACCTGTTTGTTGGCTGCGAGTCACCAAACCACAAAGCAATGAACAAAATTTGTCCAGTAAGGCAATTATCCCACAAATCTTTCATAATTTCTAGTTATGCCTTGAGCCTACTTCAGCTACTCCACTGCTTCCCAGCTGTGGGATTAATTCTCCATTATAGGCCTGAACTCTACAGACTCAGTCTACATTTGAAGTATGGTAATACAGTTATCGTGAAAACATGAGATCAATATAAATACACGTTGGACATAAACCAGTGTAGAACTGTTCTCCAAGTTGCAGACAGCCTATAAAGCATAAGTGTGGTGTTTATTATTATTCCAAGATATCAAAGAATTTGCTCCTCTTGCAAAAAAAGTCTTCACATACTCTAATTTCTAGTTCCCACCCAGGAAATCCCAATTAGACTTGCCTACTGCTCTGACCTTCCCCGTAAGAAATACGATCTGCACAATGATCCACGATAGCAGTGATTTTGAGAAGCTGAACTTAAACCCAACTTGTAGCCAGGCCATTAGATGGTGGCAAAACGCACACAACCAGCATAGTCCTATACTGAGAGCCAAAGTGCCAAGCTGAAGACCTG